TGATGCTCAGCAATGCCGTGTACAAGGCCCACTGAGGCCCAAAGCTGCTTTTACACGCGGCCACCGCTTGAACCTGGTCGTCGCTGGGAATTACCCCCCCTTAGAATCATCAGTCTCTGAAAACCTCCTCTGATCCCGGCTTCTCGTCCTTCTGCCTCTCCTGCTAAACCTGCCTGTCCATTCTTGGATGAACTATTTCTTTTGTTCGTCTCTAGTTGAGCCCCTATGGTAACAACAGTAATGGCTGTTATTTACTGAGTACTGGCACTTTACAGCTTTTTCCCGTACGACTGCTGCTCCACCCCTTGCTCCATTTCACGAGCGCTCAGCCCTGGTGGCACCCCACCCCATGCTCAGCAGATGCCATCCCCTCCTATTTTAAGGAAAGGCCACGCAGCCCAGCAAGAACGTCCCTGACCGGGCTCCCCCTTCTGAGGCAAGGCCCTGCTGTGCTCCCCTACACTCTCTCCCACTCTGTCCCGGCTCTGCGGTTTCTTGAAGCCACCTGTTCGCATGTCTGCCTCTGTCCCCCTTCACTCTTTAGCTTCACAGAGGGCAGGAGAGATAGCCTGCATCTTGTATCCCCGCACTTAGCACAGGGCCTCCTGGTCCAGGGAGCGCCCCTAAGTGCTGACTGGATTTCCCTGCTCCTGTAGTTTCTGCCTAGTCTCCCCCTTTTGCCCGTGTCTCGGCAGAGGGAGACCAGAGTCCTCCCTTGGAAGCGCTCCTTTCTCCCACCCTCTGCCTGCTCTGTCAGTCACCCCCACCACTCTGGTGCCACAGTCACTACAAAACATCCTCAAGTCAACTATACCCTAATAAAATATTTTCCCCACTCTTCTGAGGGTGTGGCTCCCACCCCATCACTCCCTATAAGCCTCTGGAAAGACAGAGGGGCCGTCTGCCCAGGGGAAGGGCAGTGTGGTGCAGGGGAAGGTGCCGGGAGAAGCCAGTGGGAGGAACAGGCTTCTTAATCCCTGCCGTCCTCCCTAAACACCACTCAGATGACCCAAAAAACCCCAAAGAACAGGTGAGGAGACAAGAGGGAACCAGAATTCTGGAAGGTGGAAAGCAGAAATGAGTGGTAACCGACTTAACCTGGAGAAACCAGAAAGCAAAGTTCCTGCGTGGGGAGAAGCCACTGAGAAGCTCGCTGACTGGTGCCCCAGGATGCCAGGAGAGCTCAGTATTGCTGGTCACAGGTGGGTGAAGGCAAGGGCAGGGTGGGAACAGGAGGAAGGGCTGAAAGTCTACTGGGAGCAGAGCCGTCTCCTGATCTGTCCTCAGCCCTGGCAGAAGACAGAAGGGTTATGCTCTAGAGAGGCTTGGCAGGAAAAGCTTGGTAATGGGCCCACCAGGCCCAGCTGAGGAAGGGTGTGGGTGGCATCCTGAAAATGGGGGTTAAGTGAGAGTCTGCATACCTCCAGATTCTGTTATTTAGGGGTTCCCCAAAACCAACCCCAGTACCCCTGCCATGAACCTGCCACTTGTTGGGCTCCCTCCTTCGCATACGGAGCCCCAGTTTCCCTTTTAAATAGAGCCTCGTTCTTCAGTATGAAAGGGCAGCCAAGGACTGAAGGATTGAAGAAAGCCTCTGAAGCAAACCTAGATACCAAAACAGAACAGAGGGATTCAGGAGAAACAGAGGCAATGTGGGGAAAGAAGAACATTTTTAAAATAACCCATAATAGCTTCAGAAATGTAAGAGATATTGTGTCTGTGAAAGAAAAAGGTGCTAAAGAATTTTATAGAGAAGAAGAAAAAGATCTTGGAAATAACTATGACAACAGAAATAAAAATTAGTAGAAGAATTGGAAGGTAAAGCAGATTATAAAGAAAAACCCTGGAAGGAAAGGAGAACAGGTAAGCAAATGACAGGATTAATCCCAGATACCCAACACTTGAGTAGTCGGAGATTCAGAACGGGAACACGGAGGAAGGAGAGGGAAGGAAATTCCCTACAATCTAAGGTGTGAATTTTCAGATTGAATGGGGTCCAGCCCAAGGAATGGGGAAAAAAAAAAAATCTACAGGAAGATACAACATCATGAAATGTCACAATCCAAAGACCTTCAGAGCTTCCAGTGAAAAATTCAGATCATATACAAAGGATTGATGAATCACAATGCCGAGAACGTGGGAAATTAGAAGACAGTGCAGAAAAGCCTTTAAAGTTCTGAAGGAAAATTATTTCTAGAATCCTCCACCCAGCTACACTATTAATGAAGGGGGGATACAAAAGGCTGCAGCAAAATGAGGGCGTCAACCAAGAAAGGGTACATGGGACCCCAGGGGCAGGGACTCCGGCGCAGGGGAGGGAGATGCAGGATGGGTGACTGGCTACCGCGGCCCCTGGCCGGGCAGGCAGCGCAGAGCTGGGGGAGAGATGACTCCACAAAAATGGAGCCGACAGACGGTAAGATGTGTGTGAACACACTGAAAGGATTTTTATAGTTCAAAAAATGTGAGGCTCAGTTACTGTCATAGAAACCTGAGCAAAAAGGGGGGCGGGGGGACTAAAGCAATTTTCAGTTCCAAGAAAAACAGTTGTCCAAGAAAAGAAATTCAATGATGGTACACTATGCGCCTTAGCTGAGTGCAATATTTACATAGTTCTAATATTGAACTGAATATGATTTTGACCAGCACTGTGATGTAAGTATATTGGGAGGATGGCAGGGCAAGGTGTGTGTGTATCTGTGGGGTGCATAGGAGAGTCAAGTCTTTGGCTTCTGTAGTAATAACAACAAAAGCTAACGTTTAATGGGGGGCAGTGGTGGTTCAGTGGTAGAAGTCTCACCCTTCACGTAGGAGACCTGGGTTTGAATCCCAACCAGTGCACCTTATAAGCACCTCATGTGCAGCCACCACCCATCTGTCAGTGGAGGCTTGCATGTTGCTATGATGCTGAACAAGTTTCAGTGGAGCTTCCAGACTAAGACAGACTAGGAAGAAAGGCCTGGTGATCCACTTCTGAAAATCAGCCAATGAAAACCCTATGGATCACAACATTCTGACCCACAACCAATCACGGGGCTGGTGCAGGACCAGGCAGTGTTTCCTTCCGTTGTGTGTGGGGTTGCCATGAGTTGGGGGCCCACTGGATGGCAGCTAACAACAAGGAAGGCTTAGTAAGCATGCCATGGTCGGTGTCCATGCATTCCATGCGTTACCTCATTCAGAACTTACAGCAATCCTCTGAGGTAGGTTGCCATGAGCACTTCATTATGCAGCTGAGGAAGCTGAAGCACAGAGAGCTTAAGTAACTGGCTTAAAGTCACACAGGTAATAAGTGGTAAAGGCAGGGTTTCACCCCAGGCAATTTGATTTTAAAGTCTGTAGGTATGTTCCAGACCCGGAGAGATGTCAGTTGGATGAGCTGGTGGCCCACGGGGCACTGGGATGGAGAGGCACGGGAGAGTTTTAAGCAGATTGACAAGGATCCTCCGGCTGCTGTGTGGAATAGGCTGTAAGGGAACAAAGAAACAGAGGCCCAGTTAGAAAATGGTGCAGTAGTCCGGACCAGGGGTGGGAAGTGGTCAGATCTGGTTACCACTGGAAGGAGTTGACAGGTCTTTCTAGAAGACTGGAGTCCCGGGGTGGTGCAAACAGTTAATGTGCTTGGCTGCTAACCAAAAGGTTGGAGGTTCGAATCCACCCAGAGGCACCTGGGAAGAAAGGCCTGGCAATCTATTTCCAAAAATCAGCCATTGGAAGAAAACCCTATGGAGCACAGTTGTACTGTGACACACACGGGGTTGCCGTGAGTCGGAATTCACTCGACGGCAGCTGGTAAGTGGCACTAGAGGACTGGACGCAGGGTGTGGCAGAGGGAGTCTGTCAGGGCGACTCCTTCCAGATGACTGGTCTCCAGGCTGCCGCATACCAGATCCATATCCGCCATCATCTTCTCGGTTCTCACCTTCCTTGATGGCTCCTCAGCTGTGCACGCCGTCTCCACGTGCCATTGTTCAGTCCCTCCTCTGTCCTGTCACTCTACAGACTCGCCCCAAAGTCCTCTCTCCTCACCCCTTTTCTTCTCAAGACTCCCTGTCCACCAATTCTACTCTCATGTCAGTTCCTGTCACCATTTGCACCAAGCCCACCCCCTCCAGTTCCCCATCCTGTTAATGACCTCGCCATCCTCCTAGTCACGTGGCTGCAGATCGCCCGCCCCTCCCTCCCTGTGTTCACCAAGCAGCTGAGTCCTGTTGATTTTAACTCTAAAGCATTGGCTCTTCCTCTTCCCTCTGCACCACCGTATTCCACATCTTGATTTCAGATCGCAGGCACACTCCCCACCGTCAAGCCTGCACCTCCTCTAGTCTGTCCTCCCCACTGCTGTCAGAGTCACCATATATACAGCTCAGACCACCTTCTCTGTTCAGGGTGCCCAGTGCTATCAGATGCCACCTGCCGGCCCCCAGTGTTCCCCCTCACAGCCAGCCTTGTGTTCTTCCCACGGCAAGCCTTTCCTAGTATGGCCAGCCCGAGACCTGTGGGTGCACTTGACATTCCACGGGGTGGTGACAGAGACCGAGAGGCAGGGAGGACAGGAGCGGGGCTGGGCACTAAGCCATCAGCAGCTGTGGAGGTCCACCGAGGCGCCCATCCTTACCACATTTCTCTGGGGAGGGGAGGCAAGCTGGAGCCCCCGCGGCACGTTCCCAGACTGGCCCTCGTTTTGCCGAGAAGACAGAAGTCCTGTGAGTTAAGTGGGACTTTTCCAACATGCACACAGCTATTGGTGGCAGCGCTGTCTTGACACACCGGTGTCTGGGGTCACCCCTCGAGGTTATGGGCTGGTTGTTGGCCACTGCTGGGGGACAGATGCATCTTTTGTTTACCTGCATGGGCAGTGCTGTTCCAAAGCTGGTCTCAAAAGAAGCCTGCCACAAGGCTTGTATGAAATAGCAGTGGGCAAATAGGACAGTGGGATGCAAGGGTCTGAAGAGAGAGCCCTCGCCCCTTTTTAACTTTCGTTTCCATTTTCATTTGAGTCACTTTTGTCGATTATGTAAACATCGGTGGCCCAGACACAGGCAGGCAGCAAACATTCACCTTCACGTTGGAGCGAGGTCGCTGCCGTGAGTCACAGCGAAGCATCATTCCCTCCACGACCTTGAAGCTGTGCTGGGTCACAATGCCAGGACCAGAATGTAAATTTAGTGCTGGAACCTCAGTTATCTGTTGTAGCTGGATTACAGGTGACTATATAAAAAATTTTTTTAAATCTTCATTTCTAAATTTTCTGTAATAAATATTTACTGTAATTCTTAAAAGTCCTTCTAGAAAGGTTGAAAACTGTCTGCTCTGGAAAATGGCAGTGCTGCAGGACTTGATCCCAGGACAGGCTCTGTCCATTTGACAAGCCGCTGTGCTCCTAAAATGAGTGCTCTGTCCCAGGAAACAGCCATAAAGGGTGGTTGGCGTTTCCAGGAACCTCAGAGCCGACCACACAATAACCAGGTGGAGTGGCTCCTCGGCTAGTGCTGGGTGCCGGGAGCAGAGCTCACCTAGGCAGGTCCTGGGCATCCTGTGGCCTTGGGCTGCTCCCACGGGAAGGGGCCAGGGCTTCAGGGCCGGTGACCTCCAGGTCTACTCTGGGGCTGTGGCAGTTGTGTTTATCAGCAAAGAATGGCCATGTACTCGCTGAGGCCTAACTAAGGACGTTCTCACTTCAGAGGTTAGATTTGAGAAAGTACCTCTTCGACAAAGTTGTTCAGCTGCGGCTCCGACGCTGAGACTCTTGGGGGCCGTAGCGGCAGCACCAGGCCGGTTGGGGGCCTCTGAGAGACCCAGGTCCGCTGTGTAAAATGAGAAGTTCTGCTGACAGCAAAAGTCTATCCGTGTGGAGAAGAGGGGAGGCTGATGGGCCCCATCTTCCTGGCACAGTAGACAGGTGCGCTGTGTGTGCCCTGTGGCCTTGAGTACCCAGTTCAATGCTGGGGGGCACCGGGGGCCCCAAGGTGAAAAGTAGAGCCATCATCAGGTTTTCCTCGAATACGTCAAAGATTTTAAAGTCACAAACACTGGCCCCTTTCTCCAGGCCAGGGAGGGGGCGGCCACACATGACCCAGCAGCTGCTTTTGTATGGCCTGCAAGCTAAGAATGGCTTTTACAGTTTTTAATGGTTGAAAACAAATCAAAATAAGCCTGTTTTGTGACACGTGAAAATTATGGGAAATTCAGATTTCAGTGTCCATAAAGTTTGATTGGAACACAGCCTCGTTCATTTGTTTCCATTTTGTCTGTGGCAGCTTCGCGCTCCAGTGGCAGAGCTGAGTGGTTGTGACAAAGATCACACAGCCTGCCAAGTCTGAAATCTTTACTGTCTGGCCCTTTACAGGACAGAAGAGATTTGCCAACCCCAACTCCAGGCTGAAAGCTTGTGCTCACTTCTTTGACATGGATAATATGTAGCAGTTTATGTTTCCTTTCTCATTTGTAGCTTCTCTAGCCAGAATGGCCCAAGTCTTCGTGTACGGGACCCTCAAGAGAGGCCAGCCCAACCACCAGGTCATGCTGGACGGTACCAACGGCTCATCAGCCTTCCAAGGCCGGGGCCGCACGGTGGAGCCCTACCCTCTGGTGATTGCTGGACAGCATAACATCCCGCATTTGCTGAACCTCCCGGGAAGGGGACACTGTGTGGCTGGAGAGATCTATGCCGTTGATGACCAGATGCTGCAATTCCTTGATGAATTTGAAGGCTGCCCAGACATGTATCAGCGCACTCTGGTGAGGATTGAAGTTCTCGAGTGGGAAGGAGAACGCACCGCCCCTGAGGAGACGCCAGCTGCTGACAGGATCGTGCAGTGCTTTGTGTACAGCACAGCCACCTACTCGCCAGAGTGGGTCCATCTCCCATACCACGACAGTTACGACTCTCAGGGGGAGCACGGGCTTCGTTATAATCCACGGGAAAACCGATGACTGTAAGAGGATGAAGGTAGCCTTGGTGACTATGAGATTACCTCATCTTAATCTGTGCTCACTGAATGCAAACACTGAATGATGCCCTTTTAATGATGCCCTTTTAAACAAATATTTGTAAAACTCCATCTTAGTGGGGGAAAAGAAATCTCTTTCAGTGACAGCTGACTTTACAAGTAATTTTGACATCCTAATAGCCAGATCCTACCCCTTAGTCTATCAGATACAGCTATATTTGCTAGCTGCTTAAAACACATTATGGGCTTGACTGTATCTGATAAGAAAAATTTTTATGATTTTAATTCCCCTAAACTGCATTTTGATGGAACGCGTGTTGTCATGCTTTTTTTATTGGTTTTTTTCTTTTTTTTTTGGCTTTGCTTTCATCTGAAGGTAACATTTAAAATGAATGTCAAGGCCTTGTGCTGCAGCTAGATTTCAGCAGTGCTACTGTACTGATGCTGGCCTGCAGCACCTAGATTTTTTTTTTTTTATTTTTAATAAAAGCTGATTTTGGATGGCTCAGTGTAATGAAAAAAATTCCTCAAGAAAAATATGCTATACAGTGTATATATATATAGGATCATTCATCATAATTTCCAGATTGCATTTAGGCAGAGACTATTAAAAATGATAATTTAAAGTTAAATGAGGAGATATTTGGGGAAATAAAATACAAAAATATTCATGCTATTATTGGCCTTTTTTGCGTATACTTACTTGGTAGAAGGTTCTTTTCATTCTAATCTAGCAAAACCATGAACACCCACCCACTTGCTGGGCGATAGAGCTGAGTGCCCCGGCTTTCCAGCGGCGTCTACCCAAGGCCAGCGCTCAGCACCAAAGCCCGATTGTTGACTCCCGGAGGGGAACAGCACTGGGGTAGGCCCTTCAGAGAAGAGCCAGCACATTAGTAATTTGTTCTCCAGGCCTGACAGAGAGCTTAGCTTCCAAACACAAACAGCACTTTTAAAATAATTTTAGCAAGGCACGAAGTACCAATTAATTACTACCCACCTCCATCTGATATTTTTTGTCAGTGGAGATTCACGTCAGCGCACGATTCTTCGCTTCTGCTTACCAGCGAAGTATGAAACGAATTCCAAGAATCTCAGGACCAAATGCAAATGCAGCTGCTGGTCCTCAGTAACCTCGCTCACTGCTGGGATATCACACTCACTCTTCAACTTACTTAATGGTAGACTGATGATCACGAACTGCATCTGGCACAAGGATGTGATCATTATTTTTAGCCTGGTTTTCTTCATTGGGAACTAGCGTCACAAAAACACAAAACCGGGATCAGCTGACGAGCGTGTGGTAGCAGCGCACTGGCGCCGGGTGTGAGGGCACGCCCTGTTCACGTCCTAGCCTGGGGAGTGGGGAGGCTGTGCGCCACGCTTCTGTTCCAAAGAGGAGTTCTGGCAGCATGTGTGGGCACCACATCTCCCCAAGGTGACGTGCCAAGGCTGCTGTTGTTGTGTGTGCTGCTGAGACAACGCTGACTCACAGCAATCCTCCATGGCAGACAAGAACAGCCTCATAGGGTCTCCCAGGCTACAGTCTTTATGGGGGCAGATCGCCAGGTCTTTTCTCCCGCAGAGCCGCTGGGCGGGTTCAAACTACCAATCTTTATATTAGCAACCGAGCACTTAACTGTTTTACCACCAGGGCTCCTTTAGATCCAAGGCTACCCCCATTTAAAGCCACAATGTCAAGGGGGTTTTCAAAATAATCAGCTAAGCTATAAGGTCTTTAGGAAGTTATGAATAATCAGAAACAGGGGTTAGGTCCTTACCTATGGAAGAAGTAAGGTAATCAGATTGGAAGATAGCAAATGGTAATCCTAATAAAATTGAAGGCAGAGGACTGGTAATTCATATAACTTTAAAAAAGGATCACAGTGAAATTGCTAGTATTTAAGTCTTCTGGCACAGACTGGATCCTCTTGTGTACATTTTCTTCATTCAGAAAAAGGGCAAACTAATATTTAGACAAATGCTCAGTTTTATTGATTTAATTTTGACACTAGGAAATCTCACAGCAGAAGTACAAATCATATGTACAAGTATTTATATCAATAAAAATTTCCATTGGTGATTTTTTTGGCAGAATGCTGGTTTTGACTATATGTGGAATAAATATGACCATGTAAAATCTGCTGCACAGGAGTGTTCCTGTAAAATGCTTGAATCAATTGAGTGTGAAAGAGTAATCATAAAAATGGCTAATTAAATTGGGTGATGACTGAAAGGCTATAAATACTTCATTCCAGTTCCACGAGCAGATCTCCTTCTCCAACTGTGTCTCCAGTTTTACAGTGCACGGATTTCACCTTGAATTTTAAAAAAAAAAAAAAAAAAAGCTCAATACCCACAGCAAAATGGTCTTACTAGTTTATCTGGACCATTTGTACTACTGTTTCATGAGAAACTGTTCTGTAAGCCTTCACCTGAAGAAAAAAAAAAAAAAAAAAAAAAAGAGGCAAGAGTAAGAATTATTAAGTAGAACCTGGAGGGAGGCAGTCTCACAGACTGTAGCTGACAGTGAAGAGAGCGTCTTGTCGGGCTTTGGGGCACAGGGACAGCCCACTGAGCTCATGCCTGGTGGAGGGGGAGGCCCAAAGGAGGCCTCACCCCCATCCCCTTCGAGTCTCTTTCGTCCTTGCTAGCCTGAGGAGTTCTTGGTCCAGGGGACGTTCTTGCTGCACTTCCCCTCTGGCACCTTGCGGAAGTTGGGGTTTCGAGGCTGCATCTTAAAAAGTCTGAAACATTTATGCCAGGTAAGTTTTGACCACTTGGCCCGCCTAATCCTTCTTATGGATTTAGGTTGTAGAAATGCCCTTTGAGAGTTAATGGTGTACTCGGTTTAGTGTAAAAAAACCCAAAATTATACAATATTTAAAACAGGTCCTAAGTAAGAGGAGACACTCCCTAGCATGATCATAAACTTCTTTGGAAAGGAAGTGAAATATTCAGGTCTGCAGACAGACGGACTGTACTGTGTGGAACCGTATACTGTGTGGAACAGTATGCCGTGTGGAACAGTATGCCGTGTGGAACAGTATGCCGTGTGGAACAGTATGCCGTGTGCAGTGTGGAGCTAGCTCCCAGGAAGGCTGTCACTGTGCCTTTTCAGTCCACCGATTTCTCCCTTTCCCAAGTTTGTGTTCAAAGATTTAAACTTAGCAACCACAGGGGAGGAATGGGGATAAGACAGTCATTTGACTTCGTGGAGGGTCTTGCTTGGGCGTGAAAATGAACAGTGGGTCAGCACTAATTGGCCATGTGGGCAATTGGCATCCAGGAAAACGCCAGCGATGTCTGGCCTGCTGCACTCACCAGTGTTCCCTGCGACGCCATCATGAGCTGGCTCTAAGGGCCTTTTTCCCTTAAATGGGAGCCCAGCTTTTTTAAGAATGATGTGAACCCATGCAATGAATGGTTCAGAGGCCTCATCCGGCAGGTGCTATCTGGACTGAAGTGGCTGCTCTTTTATGATCTCGATGCCTCCGGTATTTGTATATGATGTATTTTTCATGATGCTGCAGTTACTAGAGTGGAGGGTCTGTTTCTACCCTGAACCTTTTCTCCGGGAGGAAAAAGGACCCTCCCAGCCCCCAGGCTCGGCCAGGGCCTGCCCCTTCTCACCACTCCTGCTATGCCCTGCTGGTTTGGAACCAAGAGGTATGGCAGTGGGGGAGGGAATGGGATGGACAGGACAGACGCCAGCTAATCAAGGTTGGGCCAAAGTACAGAATTCACTGAGCCCCCACCTGCACCCCTGGAAAAGCAGCTCCTGATGGCAAGGGGGCAGTGTGGCGTCTACCTGAGACCCGGACCACGACAAGGGACAGGTACCGACAGATCAGGCCCCACGTTCCTTGAGGAACAAGGACCACTACCTCTTAATCCAGCAACATGGGGGCCCCTGGCACGCAGCTGACACTTAGCCTAGGTCTCATCATGGATGGAAATTCCACGATGCTAGTGCAGCGTAAATGCTACAGAAACAATCCCAATGAACAAACAGGAAAATCTGGCATGAACAGAAACCAACATTTCCTTGTTCGCTTTTTATAAAAAAGAATCAGATTTAGAAACCAGGATTTCTAAAACACTGCAAATCATATCATTTGACTCTCCCCCAAATCCCATGGTGGGCAAAGCTGCTTGCACCCCTCCTCCAGTCCAGCCAGCCTGCCCAGGGGCCACCAGCCAGCCTTCCCAGGGGCCACCAGCCAGCCTGCCCAGGGGCCACCAGCCAGCCTGCCCAGGGGCCACCAGCCAGCCCGCGCAGGGGCCACCAGCCAGCCTGGGGCCTCTGCGCTTCAAGCGGAACCTGACCGAGTGTCCTCCTTGGCCTTCTCTCTGACAGTCAACTGCATTTGTTTCCGGGCTGACAGACCATGGTACAGACAGAGGCGGTGTCTCTGACTGCAATCTTTTTTGTGAACTGATGGCTGATGGTATTTCTCTCTGCCATAGCACACGACATCCCTGTGGCTGTTTTCCCTCCCAGGAGTGCAGGACACGCCCAGCTCTTGCTGCTGCCCCCAGCATCATGTGTCCAAACCCAGACACCCTTCAGAAAAGCATCTTCCCTCTAACAGTGTCTCTAATTCAGCCTCAGGGAGAATCATGAAGTTATTGCTTAGAAGGACTTCTCTATTTTCTCCAAGGAGAAAATACATTTAAGAAGTTTTACCCTGAACAAATTTTAGCACTCATACATCTTCTCCTCCCCTCCCCAGCTCTAAATCACTAAGTCCCACACGTATACGTGGGGGTTTCAGCTCCTCTTCATCTGAAATTGAACTGTTCTCTTTGTGAGGAAATTATCATGAAGAGCTGCATCCATTTTTGCAATCTGTAAAACCACTTCCTGCTGTGGCACCTAAGTCTCAGATAACGAACTGCTTCCAAGACAGATGTAAACATTAAAAATTAAAGATCCCTTAATTTGAAAGACATTAAGGTAAAGAACAATTGTTCTTTGACTACCTGACATAACACACCGACCCTATTC